ATGAGTACTTACTTGTGCTAAAGTCTTCTTTTTAAAATTGTAGCATCCCAAAGTGCTACTTTATAAGATGCTCATACATTACTAATGTTTATATATGAAATATTGACATCTGTTCTTATGAGTTTTTAAAAGTCAACATTCTTTCAAGGTATTCTTTAGGTTTTGAATTTACTTCTTTTGTTTTCTATGTAAATGCTACATAAGGTTGATGGTCTTATGAGCTTTATTAACTAGTATATCTGTACAAATAACATACTGTAGTTTTCAAATATTAGTATCAGTTGTGGCTACAAAATTGAACTCAATATGTGAGGAATTACACTTCTGAGTAAAACTAGTACAAACTCTTTGCAGTAGTTTAATTTCTTTGGAATCATTTCCATAGTCATCATCTGTTTTACTATTGCTGCTGCTGAGTGTTAGTAAAGGTGTGTCTTTTCTTGACGCCTGTAATCCCAGCATTTTGGGAGGCCAAGGCAGGCAGATCATGAGGTCAGGAGTTTGAGACCAGCCTGGCCAATATGGTGAAACCCCGTCTCTACTAAAAATACAAAAATCAGCTGGGCGTGGTGGCACATGCCTGTAGTCCCAGCTACTCTGGAGGCTGAGGCAGAAGAATCGCTTGAACTCAGGAGGCGGAGTTTGCAGTGAACCCAGATCGCACCACTGCACTCCAGCCTGGGCAACACAGCAAGACTCTGTCTCCAAAAAAAAAAGAAGTCTAGTGAAGTTTGTTTTAACACCTGTAAATTACAGTTAAAAAATTATTATGAAAGTTTGCTTCTTAATTTAGCTAATATTTTATTTTATTTTACTGATTTTTTTCCACTTGAAAGCAGTCACTGTTTATTAACTGACCAGATTACAAAAATAATCATGGCAGACACCTTACTTCATTCTTCTAAGTAGCATCTTGATCTGGCTGTCCCTGTTGCCAGTATCTCCACCTTTTATAAAACTGGAGGTCTTTTCCTTTATTCCTCCTCGTGGAAAGGATAATTTGAAGAGTCTGAGGAAGTTATTTGCTTCTTTTAAGTGTTTTCTAACAGCATGAATCAGATCCTCTGTGCAGATGATGTCATATTTACCAAGAGATCAAGCCATCAAAACGTTATCTGTCAAGACAATTCACTTCATATTGATTTTGCAGTAACCACACTTGGAGACTAGTTCATTTACTGAATTCAGGTTCGGAGACTCTCATGCAATATATGGTTCTACAATCTGCAGCATGTTAACTGAAGCATTATTGAACTTAACGAAGGTTCCAATGAAGATCTGACAAGGCAAAGAAGCTGCAACACCTTTTGGAGCCTTGAGCTCATACCACTGAGACCTCTGATTCTGATGATAAATGCCAATTTGGGTTCTGCAGGTACACAGAGGTTGCCAGCTTTTCTTGTCACTTCTAGCCAATCAGATCTCAGTTCCTTACGTCTGTCTATGTTCCCAGCAATAGTGTTTAGCTTCTTCATAGATAAGCTTCCTTCCTTTTGAAGTAGCCTTAGGGCAAACTTTCTCTGGCACTTGATCTTCAGCTCTGCAAAATGCCTTCACTTCTGCTTACCTGGTTCCATCCAGAAAAGGGAATATTTTTAAATTATAAAGTAAAAAAAAAAAAAAATTAGTTTTAACAAAAACATTATATATAAGTAAAAACAACAAAATATTTTTTTTAAATGCTCTTGTTTTCTCAGACTTTTACATGCCTTTGTCTTACAGGTGAACAACTAACCTTCAAATGCCACACACTGTGGCATGGTCCC